TAATTCCAGATCTTTTAACTAGTCAAGAAGTACCAATGTAGGCCACACAAACATCTCAGAAAAAGTCGCAGAGACAGGGACAGACACTGGACACCAGGGAAGAGGCTACATCTGGGTGGTTTGGGACCAATATCTCCCTCATCAGCCACCTGCCATACAGATCACTGTTACTGATTTTTTTCAATAAAAGAAATTTCACAAAGTCGTATAATGGATAAAGTGGTTAGCAAGGAGATATTAAGATTTTTTTTAAAAAAAAATAAAATAAAAACGGCTAATGGCTCACCATGACATTTCAACCAACTTAACTTCATTTTCCAGAAAATTCTGTTTGATGAAACCAAAATCATAGGATCAAGGATCATAGTCAGGAAGACACATTTTAAAAGCTGTAAGCATTTTCATAGAAAATGAACCTCTGGGGTTTCCAGTGGGTTCTTCTTATGATCCACTACAGCAACTCATCCCTTATCTACAGCTTGGGGTTTTATTTACAGTCAGTCACGTCCTAAGAGCATGACACAGGACATTCCAGAAATAAACAGCTTGTAACTTTGAACTGTGTGGTGCTCTGAGCAGCGTGATGTAATCTCAGACCTTGTGACTTTACCCACCAGGATGGCAATCATCCCACTGCTCAGCCTATCCACGCTGTATACACCACTTGCCTGCTAGTCACTTAGTAGCAATGCTGGTTATGGGACTGAGAGTTGAGGTGTCCCAGTCCTTGTGTTCAGATGACCCTTATTTCATTCAGTGATGACTCATAGTCACAGTGGGAGATCACTGATGCTAGCCATCCAGGTCTGACAGAGGAGCCAAAGAATGGAAACATAATATATTAGTCAGGGTTCTTTAGATGAACAGAACTTATAGAGTGAATATATATTTTACATTTTTATTATATATACATATATATGTAAATGATATTTACTAGAAAGGTTTTCAGACTGTGGTCCAGCTAATCCAACAATGGCTGTCTACCAATGAGAGCTTCAAAGATCCAGTAGTTGTCCAGTCCCTGAGGCTGGATGTCTCCGCTGGTCGTCAGTATATACTGGAATCCTAAAGAAGTAGGTTCTAATGCCAATGAAGGAATGGATTTGCTACCAAGGTCAAGGCAAGCAGGCAAAGAGTAATATTCCCTGTTCCATATCCTTTATATGGGCTTCCAGCTGAAGGTGTGGCCCAGATTAAGGATGGATCTTCTCACCTCAAAAAATCTGGACTAAAAGTGGTTCTTCAAATGATTTAATTAAGAAAAAAAAACCCTCACAGGTATATTCAGCCACTCCAGTTTAGTTAATTCCAGATGTAGTTAAGTTGACAACCAAGAATAGCTATCACACATAATGACCTATTTTGACAGAAGGAAACCAAATTCACATACTTTGATTATAGCTTGTTGTCATTGATTTTTGTGAACTTTTACTGCACCTGATTTACAAGTTAAACTTTATGCAAGGCCTGTGGGGGGGGGGTGCCATCCTGATTTTTAGTCATCCACTGAGACTCTGAACATATTTCCAGTGGACCAGACAGGAGAAGGGTACAACGACACATAAATCCATCACATGACTTTGTGAGCACCATCCCTCTATCATGTATGTGTGCCCTTGCTTCTTGCAGCATTATCTGTGGAGCCGAAACATGACCATTGGTGGAACTGAGTCTAGACTTGCTGACCAGCTGATTCTACATGGCGCCCCAGGCTCCAGCAGACCACCCAGCCCTCCCTGCTCTTCCTTGGATGAGCTCCCGCTTAAGCCCATGGGTCTAGTTTCTGTAGAATGAGCTAAATTTGCCACTTGCCTCGGGGCCTTTGCGTCTGACCCCCTTTCTACTATCATCTCCTGCATTGCCTTTTTTTGCAGTCAATGCAACATTACTCAAGTCTTAAGTCTGTCTGTCTCCTTGCAGTTGTCTACATTTGCGCCCCGCCCCCAGCAGAGGTCACGGCCCAGAATCATCTCTGCTATGCCAGCTTGCTTCCATTTCAAACACCTTTTTAACTACATCAAACAATGCATAGTTAGGAGGGTCCTTGGAATGGTGAAATGACCCACAATTAACCAATGATGGTTTCTCTAATATCCACTCAACTCTACTCTGCACAGTGAGTGGCCAAAGGGTTTCTTTGATTGTATATTAATTTTATCTCCATTCTAAAATACTTCCTCCATTTCTCCTACCCAAGTATATTTCAAATTTTTTTGGGTACACATTTTAGAGATTTTGTTGTTATTGTTGTTGTTGTTGTTGTTACTTTGCTTTGCTTTGTTTTTTGTCTTCCTTAAAGTCAATACTGAATTTATTCCTAAAAAAGAAATCTTTAATGTTATTGTATTGTTACCTCATAAATTAGATTGGGAGACTCCTTGAGGGAATAAAATACAGGTTGGGAACCTCTAGCCCAGTTTATCCTAAAAGCTTCTGTCGTCTGGTTTTCTTAATCACAAACAAAAACACCATCAGTTTAAAACTAAAATAGGACATTAATAAAACACTTGTTTGCACAAGTTTTATACACTGGATTAGCGGATAAGGCTCTGTTTGAAAAAGAGTAGTTCTCCGCTGAGAACTTTTAAGTCTTTAGAGAGATTACCTTGGAAGTTTTCCCGCTGCGAATCTGGCACATACCTGTCCAGTCTGTGGTCCTCCCACATGGAAGGCCCTGGACTCTGGGCAGAAGCACAGAGTTGGCTGGCATGCTAACAGGCGCTTAGTTTTCTCCATCCCTGAGGAATGATTTGACTTGATTCAGCCAGTTAGGGTTAGGGGTCATAGTTCAGAGTTTATAACTTCAGCATGGGCAGGAATCTTTATGTGCACTATAGGTACAGTAGATGCAATGCTGGGACACTGCCAGGCTGGCCAAGGGATGTGCTGGAGACCATGCATGCTCGCCGGAGGCAAGTGAGATTAGGGGTGGGTGTGTTCAGACATCCAGACACGGGCGTAGATAGGAAGACATGCCAACCGGTGGGCAGACCTAGGCACCCAAGCCCAGAGAAAGACACAAAAACATCATGAAAGGGACAAAAAGCAACGACCAGGGTCACCTGAAGACTTCTCAGTGTTAAGCCAGAAAGGGACTTTAGAAGTCATGTCTGTCGCCAGCTTCCAAGTTACAAATGGACAGAATAAACTCAGGAAAGGAAAGTGTTCCCTCTGAGTCCCACAGTCCCTTCAGTGTGGGGTTACGTGTGAAAACACAGAATCCCTCTTATCTATCAGGATGTGGTGAACAAAGGCAGACCGGCTGAGCAAGCAACGGCCTCACTCAGGATCTGTGTGGTCAGGCACACAGACCTGTGCGGGCTCTTCCCAACTCACACGAAAGGCCCCCGAGGAACAGGAGACTGTGTTGAAGCACACAGAGAATGTCTGTGCAGTCAGCTGAAGCAGATCGAAGGGTCTCCTACCCAGGGCCCCTTTCATCCCGAGCCCCGGATAGCACCAGTCCACTTCGGGGAACCTCCAGGAATGTGAGCATCTATGTTACCCATCTATTCACCGCCTTACATTCCCTGCACATTCTCTGTAACAGTGCCTGCCCTCTGGCCCCAGCCAGCTCTTCATACACTGGATCACTCCTGTGTGTGGTTGCATTTATTACGTTCTCGGGGTAATCCCACTGCCTCTCAAACCCCTTGTACTGAAGAGGCTTCCATGTGTGTTTTAATTTCCAACACATTGGGAACTGTTTTGGTTTTGTGATATAAAATCGTTTATAGAAAAGAAAAATGAAAGCGGCCCGCAGAATGTGAAGTCTAGCTCCTGAGAGGTTCAACAGATATGAGTTACCCCATCGAATTGCTGCATGGATTCTAATGGACTTAGTTCCCTATCACAAGCCAGTGACACCCATCACCAGTCAGACTACCATTCCCTGGCCCCCCAGGAGCATGGATTGTCCCACGGCCTTTCACCTCATACCTGGAAGCCTGACCCTCCCCAGCCCACAGATGGGAAAACTCAAGACAGAGGTCGTAGACTCTCATCCCACATGCGCTCGCTGCCAAACGCCTCAGCTGTTCAATGCCCCTCGATTTTAGCTTCTTCCTAGAGAACCAGCATGGAGGAAGCCAGCAGCTGCAAAAGTAAGCTAACGTAGGGAGGGCCACAGCGGCCAGAGGCAGCAAGGAGAACAAGGAGAACCCACCATGGTGCCATAGAGGACGAGCTGCCAGGCTGTAAACAGAGCAGCATGGGCGTGGCATCCTTCGAACCAATCACCGTGGGGCCTGGTTTCACGGCTGTCAGCCTGGAGCTGGGTCCTGGCCAGTCTGTAACAGCCCCTTAATCCCCCAGTCCCACTAGACCTGGACTCAGTGATACCTGCCCAGGCCCTCAAGCAGTTAGCAGAGAGCTCCAGATCAGATGGGGGAGGTGGGGCGGGGTGCCAACACTTCCACAGACAAGCAGCTAGGCGCATGCTTCTGTAGAACTTCCAGGAGTGTACTCGGGTAAGAAAGCCTAGCACAGAAGACAGAGTTGGAGTGAAGGGGCCACATCCAGTCCCCTAACCCCAATTACCAATGCAGTTTTTCCAGAACCTTGAGGGGGCATGCAGAGCAGAAACAGCCTCTCTAAATGATGACCTCCACGAGAGCAATCCTGCTTCCCCCCTCTCCCCCTCTCTCCTAACAGCAGATCACAACCTCCAAAGAATCCAAGTGCTTTTGGGAAATGCAATTACCCAAAGTACTGACCCCTTTCTAGGACGCCAGTCCTGTTGCCAAGACTAACATCATCACAGAAGCCGTCACCGGGGCTGTCGGACGAGCGTGGAGGGCAGACCAGGGGCACCCAAGAGCTACTTTCTACCTTGTAGGCTGCTGCAGGAGAAGGATGTGAACGCTTTGCATCTTAAGGAACTCAGGTGTAAGGTTGGGGACAGAGCAGACGGCTGTCTCCGCTTCCCCCGAGCCTGGGACTGCTCGAAACTTTCCCACACTCAAGTTGCTCCCTGAGTCTGACCACGTACCCACGCCTACATGTGCTCCCTCGATTGCACTCCTGGTGACCCGCTCGCAATCCCAGTCAAAAACCCTCCTCGTTTGGGTGAGTCTCACATCGCCTTCCAGATGTTTACGTGGGTGGCCACCTGCTGCTGCCAAGACAACCGCAGTGTCACAGGCATGCAGACCCTGACGCGGGAGACGTGTTCTACTGCACGGTAAATCAACACTCTCTGTCTCTGAAACAAAGTGAGGAAATTGAATATCAGAAGCGGCTAAGGCGCGGGAGGACAGAGGAGAGATGCCCGAGCGGTGACTCATGCTGCCTTCGTTCGCCGTGGCACAGACCTGTGTTAACCCTGTGATGCCATCCCAGAGCTAGCCACTTCACGGCAGGTCCTGATGGAGATCTGGGAGCCAGAAAGCAGCACCATGAAGAAGTGAGAGTTGCAAAGCAACGGTCACGCCCAGGACTCTCCAGATCTTGTCTACGGTGATCCCTAGAGGCCTGATGGTACTGGGTCCCGGCAATGTCTGAGGAAATCGTTCTTGTAGACAAACCTGCCATCACCACTGTGAGGACCTCTGCAGACCTCGAAGATGTCCTTCCAAGGCGATTAAACAGGGGAAAAAGAAGAAGCACCCTTTCCCAAGATCAGTGACAGACCAAAAACATTCTAAACATTAGTTTATATTGGGTAAAAATGCAGGATTCTTTACCCAATAAAAGGTGCCTCTCTAACGGAAGGAGAAGGTACATGTGAACCCATCTCCTATACGCTATTGTTTTGGAGATGGTGGTCCACTCTACCACGCAGTCCTGCCAACTCTTCACCTGTAACGTTCACTTTGGCCTTTAGCAGATCAGCTATAAGGTGTTGACTGCACTTAGTACACGGGGCAATTAAGCAGGCCCACCCTCAAAATCAGACCATGGAGAGAGCAAAGGAATGAGGAGCTGAGACCACTCACCATTGGCAAGCAGTATTCAGACATGGAGGCCAAGACATCACTATGTGGCTACCTGGTCTCCATCTCCCACTGCTTGAAGAAGCCACCATGGCTAGAGGTGATAGTTAAGTGGCCTGTGGAACTGGAAAAACTAAAGGAACCATTCTTCTGGAGGTAAGGAAGGGCACCAAGTTTCCATTTGGGGCTGGTTGTCCCTTCATGCATCCTTCCCAGGGGCCACACGGCTGAGTTCTACAGGCATTAGTAAATATCCTACCCCATACTGGCAGTCCCTAGCCACATGATCTAATCTCACTCCATGCCTCCTAGAAACCCACAAATCCCAGAGGACCCCACTTCTGCAGTTCCCATTACCACCTAGAGTTTCCTTCTCCCTATTCTCCCCCCCAACCCCAGCTCTTGGAGAATATTGGAGAGGAGTGCCCTGACAGAGAGAAAAGAAGACACCCAAAGCCTGGGAGGGCTGCAAGCCACAGGCTCCCCAGCCACTCACATGACCTCCGTGAGCTCTGCTTTGAATTGCCCCCAGAGTCTCAGGGCCCTCACAGGAAGCAGAGCTATCGGTGACACCCATCAACCTCACTACAAGCCGGAGAGTGGTGCTCATGCATCCAATTAGTCTCCTAGGAAACCAACTACCCAGAGCATCCATCCTGAGGAGAGAGGCTACCTCTCTACATTCTTTTTCATAGCTGTTTTCTTGGGCCCAGAGCCCTTCCCTCCTCTCAGTAAAAATAAGTAACTGGGAATGAAGATGCCTTCAGGCACAGGTGAGCCAGGCCTAGAAACCCCTCCCACCTCTGAAGTCCAGCAAATGGAAAGCTGCTGGCATGATGATGCCCGGCCAGGTGAGTGCTCAGCAAACAGCCCTACTGCCCTTCCTTGGGGAGTGGCTGCAGCCCTACTTCAGCAGCACAGACTTCTGCAAATGCACAGCTCATGTACTGGGTGTCACCTGACCCAGCTTTGGGGCTGGCTCACCTAACCCCATTGTTCCGAGATCAGACGTCGATGGGTACAGTGGTGGCTACCACCGATGCAAACCCACTGATCTGTTCAGGACAGGTGGCAGAAATGACCCAGGGACTCTGAGTTCTGAATATCAGCTCCCGGCTCTTTGTTTGGGAAGCTTTGCCGATACTTCCCAGGGACCAGGAGGGATGCTGGTGAGCATGCTTAGGCTGAGGGTGCCTAAGGCGGAGACAGCAGACTGCCGTTGCTATAGCAATATCCGTGACAAAAATCAGAACAGCTAGTGAGTTTGGAGCAACCGAAGGCTCTACCAATGCCCTTATCTCAAGAGGCACAGCCGCCTTCCAATGGTCATCTCTGAGCCGGGATGGTTGAGTATGCATTTCCATCTCCTGTTGAGGTAGGAGGCTGGGAACAGGAAGGGACCAAGTCTGGGCTGCCCTATCGTTACTGCAAGTCAAGACACTATCTAAACAAATACGCAAGTTTTCAGAAGAAATGGGGCTGTATATGTTGATCCTTGACTTTGGGAAAGGAAAATGTAATTAGCAAATGACCAGAGAGGGGGACATGAGGGACAAAGGGGTCAAGATCGTCATCCCCTAAGGCCCTGCCTACTGACAGAAAAGTGCCCAACCTTAAAAACCCAGCTGGAAAGAGACAACTACCATGTGTCTGTCTCCAAGACAAGTGTCAAGAAGGTCCCCTTGGTCTGCCCTCTCCTATTGCTCTGTGGAACTCAGGATAGCCACAGTTCCTGCTGCAATTCATTAGAAAGAACTCATGACTAAAGCCGTGCTCAGCTTCTAGAAGGTTCAGCCCTCATTACTGTGGCTCTGTGTTATTCTCACCTGGGATTTTCACCGGGAACAGAAGGCCTGAGCCTGATTGTCTCTGAGTTTTTCTGTTCATTCTAATGCCAGACATAGATCTCATGGTAGCGTTAATGGCGGGTGTTACTTTAAGGCGCTGCGGCATGCCTTAAATGACAAACAAGCATTAAATTTGGTTAACAGCATATAACCTAAGACTCGCATACATACTGTATGAAGAGACAGCTGATTGGATGTAAGTCAGAATATGCGTTCATTTTTAATAAGAATCCTGAGAACTCTGACTCTGCCTAATCCCCAACTCCCAGAGGGCAGGGGCTTTCCAGAAGACGCTGTACACAGCTCAGGATTTTTCAGGGCTGGGGAGCTACAGAGTGACAAAGTCCCAGAAGTCACATTGTGTGTTTCTTAAAGACCTCGGGGACTCTCTGCATGAATCGTTCCTGGATGTGGAAGAGGGCACGGGGCGTGAAGGAACACTAAGTCAGGTAGCCATGTTAGAGCATGAACCACTACTTTGTCAACTCAGGCTTTTCCCTTTACATTCATGCTGTGCTTCTCACGTGGGGAGTGGCTCTCCTTCACTGCATGCTCACATGGACTACGGAAACTAGTGGTGGCTTGCCCTGCCCAGCCTCTCCCAAGGCCCCCCGCTTTCACGTGACGCCTTCAACTGCAATAAGATTTTCCCTTACCTATGCCTGTGTTCCTCTGCCACACAAGCCAGTCACAAAGCAGCTCAATAGCTGGCACTCTTGACACCACCGTATCCAGCCACATAGTCCACCCGGGGGACCTGTTCAGTATGCAGGCCATTCCATTTCATCCCGTCTCTGAGATGTCACTATCATCCTGGCAGCATCTCTGACTGGCCAAAGGAGAAAAGCCTGTGCCAGGTCTCAGTGCCCAGCCACATAGGAGAGACAAACAGTAATTACAAAAGTATCAAACAGGCCAAAGCACGTAGTTTGGAGGGGCATCAGGGATAACATGAATGTGGTGTCCAGAAGGGCCTCTTAGGCCTGCATCTGGCCTGCAGTGAGTAAAAACAGCTATTAGGCCAGAGAACCCATGCCACTCTGACCATCTTCATGCAGGCTCCGTGTGCCCTTCGGGAACTACCCCAAGACATCATCATTATCATTGCTCTCACCCATGGCAGCAGTGAAATTGATGGGGGAGGAACAATGGAAAATGGCCAGGTGCCATTAGAACACCCAAAAGCACTGGAGAAGGCAATACTGAATGAGTTCGTGAAAACCAGCATCACCTACCCTGCCTGAAGTGTCAACCATCCTGCTCTCAACTAGAAATTTCTAGAAATCCAGTGTCCTCCAAGCACAAGCTGTTACTTGGGTTGCATTTCTCCCAACTTGAAAGATACCTTCCTGGAGTGAGCAGATATGCAGCTTCCAAGGCTCAGGAGAGGCAGAAAGTTAAACAGTCTCACGCATTAAGAATCTGCCAAGCTGCCTGCAGGGAGCATTAGAGACACAGCTTTGCTAGAGTGGGCTCCACAGTGATGCCACTGCCCGTGAGTCACCTCTGTGCCTGGAAGTAGCTCTCCTGGAAGTAACTCACTCGTTCTCCGGGCTAAAGTCAGATGGGGTCTTTTCTTTGGTCTGTCATCTATGCCCTATCTGAGGTAAACAGACATTATTTCCATGTCCCCCAGAAGTCAGGCAACAGGACCTCTCCAGAATGGCCTCCTTGCAGGGCAGACAAACTTTCTGGTACTGTGATAAACACCATGACCAAAAGCAACTTTGAGAAGGCAGAGTTTAATTCATCTTGCAGGTTATCGTCACTGGGGGAAGTAGAGACAGGAACCCAGGGTGGGATGTTAGAGCAGAAACCAAAGCAGAGGTCATGGAGGAAAGGTGCTTGCTGGCTTGCTCAGCTGCCTTTATTGTACAGCTGCCAGGCCAACCTGCACTGCCTGCACTGGGATGGGCCTGCCTACATTGATTGACAGTTAAGAAAATGCTGCAAATATGGTCACACACCATTCTGATTGGAAAAATTCTTCAGGCAAAGTTCCCTCTCCCTTGGTGAGTCCAGGTTAGTGCCAGGCTGACAGTTGAAGCTAACTATGACACCCACTAAAGAGAACATGGCGGAGGACCAACACTCCTGAAAGAGTGCTTAGGGGAGCTACGAAGAGTGAGTGATAGTGGAATAATAAGGGTGGGAGCCTGACTGTAAAATGGCTGCGTCTCTGCCTCCTGTATCTGCATCTGTATCTGTATCTTTATCTGTATCTGTATCATCTGTATCTGTATCTGTATCATCTGTATCTGTATCTG